TGTGTAAAGGAAATAAAATTAATTTGGTAGTGAACCCCACTTCTCGTGAACATGTTTTCTTCTACATGCTTGCAGTTTATCTCATAGTTTATTGCAGAGTTTTCCCCAGGTTTATTGGTAGATTTTACTTCTCTTTAGTTTGTAGACCTCACTGGTTTTGAAGATTGGATCATTTAAGAAATCTAGTTCTTTAGCATTTCTCCTGTTCTCTCTGGTATCTCAAAGATTATCATTAGAAGTTATGCTGTCTTGGCTTTTGATTCTCTTTGAAAAGTGTGGGTTTTTTACTATTTCCATTTGGAAGGCAATTCTCTTTTTTTTTTTTTTTTTTTGACACAGAGTCTCACTCTGTTGCCAGGGCTAGAGTGCCGTGGCATCAGCCTAGCTCACAGCAATCTCAAACTCCTGGGCTCAAGCAATCCTCCTGCCTCAGCCTCCCGAGTAGCTGGGACTACAGGCATGCGCCACCATGCCCAGCTAATTTTGTCTATATTTTAGTTGGCCAATTTCTTTCTATTTTTAGTAGAGACAGGGTCTCGCTCTTGCTCAGGCTGGTCTCAAACTCCTGAGCTCAAAGGATCCGCCCACCTCGGCCTCTCAGAGTGCTAGGATTACAGGCGTGAGCCACCGTATCTGGCCAATTTTGCAAGTTTTGTTCCTTGTGGGCTTTAACCTCCCTGACACTATTCTTAAGACTTTGTGCCGCTGTTGTAGCTTCCTTGGCATGTGATTGTTCAGTTATCTTTGGTTCATGTTCTTTAAATGTGAGAATTTATCAGATGGCTTTGCCTTCTTTGGAAGATTTATATTTTTCAAGCCTTTTAAGCCCACAGTTATTTTCAAAACTATTTACTGATCCTTCACAAGTAGATTTTGACCTAACATCAAGATATCTGGTGCTTTAAGAACATTAGCCAAATGTTTTTAGCCAATTTGAGAAATTACAGCTGAAGTTTCTTTTCCTGATTTTCTGTATTTTTAAAAATCAGCTGCTTTTACCATTTCCAAAAGCAAATTTTATTACTTGAGATACATGTGGAAAAATTTGGCTTCCTTTGGTTGTTGGTTTTGGGGCTTTTTTGTTTTGTTTTAGTCCCTTGCCCACGTAACTTTTATGAGTGTTTTATTTAAGCAGCTGATTTCTAGTCTTTCAAGTAGTCTAAGATCAGCATTTGTCAGAAATTTCTATAGTTTAGTCTTATGAAAATTAGGGAATCTCAGTTATAAGATTAGAAAACTCTTTCCAAAAATATATAGTCTCTCCCCTTACCTTCCTTGACATGCTCATCTAATTTAAATAATAGGACAGTTCTAAGAATAATGATCTAAGGAAAACAGGATAGAAATCTAGGTATGCCCATGTCTATGCTAAAATTTATTGAGGCTCAGCAAAGAGACAGTTTGACAAGATAGACTTCTTTGTGTTTTCACATCTGAAAGAGTGTTTGTGTTTATTTTTCTCTTTAGGATTGATTTGTGAGCATTCTGATACTTCTGTGTGTGTGGGGGGGGTTAAATTTTAGTGCCAACGTAGACTACCTTTTTTCTACAAATCAGTTTTTCATGGTGTCCTAGTCTGCTTGGACTGCTGTAATAGAATATCATAAACTAGGTGGCTTATAAACAACAGAAATTTATTTTTCACAGTTCTGGAAGATCAGGTGCCAGTAGATTCAGTGTCTGGTGAAGGCCAGATTCCTCATCTATGGATGTCTTTTCACTGTTACCTCACGTGGCAGAAAGAGCAAACTAGCTCTTTGTGGACTGTTTAATACTAGTACTAATCTCATTCGTGAGGGCTCCATCCTTATGACCTAATCACTTTCCAGAGGCCTCACCACCTAATATTGTCACCTTGGGGGTTTAAGATTTCAACATAAGAATATGGAGGGAGGCGGACACAAACATTCATACCATGACACATATGTTCATGGAATTAAGTTTTGTTTATGTGAACTTAAATAAGGTGAATCTGGAGTTGGAAGGAAAAGAATTAGAGAATGAAAATTTTTGTTTGGAGTTTTCCCATATTTTAGATTGTTTACTACCATTATTTTTTATTAGTGTGGTTAATTGAGAGTGTGTGGCAATCTGCCAATATTCTAGTTTCCTTAAGCTCATACAATTAGTGAATGATAAATAAGAATGTTTGGCTAATTTTACATATTGCTTAGAGCAGGTTTGGCATACTTTTTCTGTAAAAGGCCAGATAGTATTTTAGGCTTGGCAGATCAAAAAGCAAAATTGAGCATGTTATATAGTCTTTTATATAAAAAGAGAGAAACCAAATTTCCACAAAGATTTCTTGATAAAACTCAAAAGGTGATAAAAACTGAGTACAGTGTTTTGTAATATAGGTTTACTAATGTGAGAAGAATGACATTCTTTGGGGGGTAACATTTTGTTTAAATTGGGACTCAAAGTTAGTGTTCATTGTCAGTTGTTTGTACATGTTCATCTGTAATTGCTGACTTGGAAGAGATTTTCCATATTTCACCTTTGAAAATGTCTTTTCATACATGTAGGTACTACTGTCTTAATCCACAAGCATATGATTTTTGATGGAGAATATTCATCTTTTAGAAGGCATTTATAGAATTTTGTTAGATTCTTCTCAATATTTACCTTTTAGCATATTATACTGCAGTTATCACTTCCAGTGGAGGGTTAGATGGGAAGTTCTTCCAGTTGCACAGTTAAATGGACTTCAAAATAAGGAAATTTCTTTTGCACTTACATAGGGGGTCCACAAAATGGTTCTGGAACTATAGTTTGGGCTCAGAAAAATATATCTGCTATAAATTAGTATGTATATGGAGCCCTCATTTCTTTGACAGCACAAGCAGTGCATAAAGCAGCTTTCTATTACTTGTGATACTAGGGTTAGTTGTTGTTGAAATGACTTTCCCACAGTATAAGTGTTCTATACAGGCATTGTTTTCTTTATTTTAGGTTGGATTCATTAAGAAACATTACCAAGTCTGCAGCAAAAGATTTTTCCAAGCCATTTATTTTTTTATAGTAGTAATGGAGGGCAGTTCTTCTAACTCAAAAAAAATTCCATCTTTACCCTGAGTACAACAAATCACGATAAAACTTTACCAATGTTAAGCCATCAAAATGCTGCGTGGTAGAGCAAGCCAATATTTCCGACAAGCTGAGTGTGGTGGCTCACACCTGTATTCCTAGCTACTCCAGAGGCTAAAGTGGGAGGATTGCTTGAGGCTAGCCTGGGCAATATATGGAGACCCTATCTTTAAAAAAAAAAATTCTGACAAAAATTCATAGAACTGATGATGGTTAAGTCCACAAGAGTGAAGTTTGCCATTGACACTACAGTTCTATAATATGACATTCACATATTTTCTGCAGAGTACCTTCTGATGAATAATATAATGCATAACCATAAACATTAAACACCTCACATTTTCATAAGCTTTGTAAATTTGTCCAACTAACCTGTGGCCTCAAGGCTACATGTGGTCCTCCACATCCCCAAGTGCAGCCTCTCGACTGAATCCAAACTTCACAGAACAAATTCCATTAAGGTATTTGTTCTATAAAATTTGGATTCAGTCAAAGGGCCACACTCAAGGACTCAAAAGGGCTTGTGTGGCCCCAAGGCTATAGGTTCCTCACCCCTGAATTAGGTCTCTTTCCATTCCATGCATATTTTTACCATTTCAGTTGCAACATATTGTGTTAAATATTAACAGGTTCTACTTCAGGTTGTGCTGAATTAGAGTTTTCTCAGCTTTGGAAATATTCTCGCCTATAGTTGTTTCATGCAGACTATTCATAGAGGCCACTTCTGTAGTTAGTTCAACCTCCTTGAATAATCAACACTTAGCTCTTTGACTAGACAATGAAATACTATCAGCTATGTTTGTCAACTCACCAAGAGCCAAGGAGAAAACCACTCCCTCATTTGCCTTGTTTTTCACTTCATTAGTGATATTGCTTTGAATGTCCTCAACTTTTTATACTGTGGTACTCACCAAAAGGCCAGTCAATATTCTTAAACAAGTTTATTTACTCTGGACACATTTCTTCAGCTGCTGCATTCAAGCACAATTCACTAACTCACCATTGATAAACAACTTTCCTTGCTTAGCTAACACATCAGCCACTAGAAATTTACTTTGGTCAAAGCCTTTTTTTCTTTTTTCACTTTTGTGAAGAAATATTTTGTGATGAGATATTTTAAATTGTCTAGCTTTTTAGACTGTAGTTTTCCTGTGAATTGGAATATTGTGACTACTGTTTAGTCTAATAATGTCAATATTTATTGTATTACTTTAGCATATAAGTATATAATGTCTTTGCATAGTAAACACAATTTTTGGCATCTTATCTGATAACAAAATATTCTGTGCCTGTAAGCGTGACATTTTGAAGTCCACTTTTCTCCTAGCTCATTTGACACGATGAGTATATACTGGTAATGTTTTTTTAAATGTCACAGTATGATGGCTCTTGAAATGCTGTTGAGTTATAACCACATCACTGCAACTTAAGAGTATACAGAGCAGCAGTGCAAAGCAATGAGAGTACCACATACAGTCTGTCACAACTGCTTGATTCTGCCTTTATAGCATAGAAGCAGCCATAGACAGCATGTAAATGAATGTGAATGGCTGTGTTCCAATAAAACTTTATGAGTACTGAAATGTGAATTTCATGTGATTTTTCACACATCACAAAATATTCTTTTTTTTAACCCTTTAAAGGTGTAAAAGGCATTCTTAGATTGTAAGGAAGATAAAAACATGCAGTGGGGCTAGATTTAGCTAAGGGCTGTAGTTTGCTAACCCCTGACCTAGTCTTTTCTGAGTGTAACAGTGCTCTTCAGGAGTTTTTTTGTTATGAAATTTCATTCATTTGAGGTCTTTAAAAAATCAACGTCTTGACCTGCATTCTGGATTTTCACATAATTAAAGCTGTTGTATAGAATACATTGTGACTTCTGTTTTCAAGATAGGTCTCCTTTCTCCTTTTAGGTAATTTTCCACTTGTTCATCAAGATGGAAAACTCAGATTCTAACGATAAAGGAAGTGGTGATCAGTCTGCAGCACAGCGCAGAAGTCAGATGGACCGATTGGATCGGGAAGAAGCTTTCTATCAGTTTGTAAATAACCTGAGTGAAGAAGATTATAGGCTTATGAGAGATAACAATTTGCTAGGCACCCCAGGTATGCTACATGTAATTTAAAGATTTATATATGTAAATTGCTGGGGTTTTTAATTTAAAAAAAAGTTAACCTGTTTTAAAAATCTGCTTCTTTAGTCATTATGAATATGGTTTATTTGATATAAGGGATATAGAATGATATTTACTGCTATACTTACTACCTGATTCTATTCATTTATATTTGGAATTATATCAGATTTTTAAAGTTATATTATGAATTTTTAGTGAACTGAATTGAAAAGAATGGAGTTGGACAACCTTTTTGTTCTTAGTTAACTTTATTTAACTTACTAGATAGGGAGCCAAGTGTAGAATAGCTAATGGGAACTTTGTTCCTAGGACAGACTTATTCAACTCTGATTTTCTGAGTATGTCCCAGTTGTAATCTTCCAGAGCTAGCCTTAGGTAAAATAGCAATTAGAACTTTGTGCTTAGTTATTCTCTTTTACCCCACTAAGTTCTGTTTGATCCTAGTTAAAATTCAGTATCTGTTGTCTTCTTCATTTTTGTTTAATTCTGCCAACCTTTGGGTGATTGCTTAAATTTTAAAAGGTAAGTTTTTAACATGACTTTTAAGAAAGGGAGTAGCTTGAGAGCGAACAGTGCCAGACTTGAATCAGAATGCCTTAGTTGGAGTTTTGGCCCTCCTGTTAATCAGTGTGGTTTCTGGTAAGTCAGTCTCTTACTCAGTCTGTTTTCTCTAAAACGCAGATAACAATATCTACCTCCCAGAGTTGCAGTTTTTAAAAATTAGATATTATATACAAAAGTACTTTGTAAACTGGAAAGACCCTTGTAAAAATATAAGTTGTAATATTTATGTTCCCAAAGTGAATTTTTCTCACGTTCCTACTCCTTGGTTTTCATCTCAGAGGGTTAAGTGTTACTGGTTTTCTTTTTCTTTTTTTAATTTTAGTTTAAAAAATTTCGTCTCTTAACTATTCTAAAAATATAATTTCTGGTCATTTTGTATCAGATCAGATAAAGTATTTGGTTGTCATATCCTTTAATCTCATCTTTGCCCTGTGGTGCGTGCTTGTCACTGATTTTCCTTTGTAATTTGGCAAACATTTTTAAACTTTCAGGGTTATGTTCACTTCATAAAATGTGTTGGGGAGAATTCTATCCTTCTCGATGTTGTGGAATAATTTCTGCAGGATAGGCACCAGTTCTTCTTTGTAGGTGTGGTAAAATTCGGGTGTGAAACCATCTGGTCCAGGACTTTTCTTTTTAGGAAGGTTTTTTTATTGCTGTTTCAATTTAAACTTTCAGGTGAAAGTACTGAGGAAGAGTTGCTGCGAAGACTACAACAAATTAAAGAGGGCCCACCACCACAAAACTCAGATGAAAGTAGAGGTACATTTTGCTTTGGGGGTGGGGGTCGGTAGAGAATGGAATGGTAAGAACTTTGTAATACTAAATGTCAGCCAAAGATTATCCAGAAATGGCACAAATTAATTTGGTGCTAAGTAACTGCTCATACAAAGAGCACTGGCATTTTCTTGATATTTGGTAAGAATGTCAACATGTTTTTTTCTGCCTCACCTTTGGGTTGTTTGTGTTAATTGGGACACAGTGAGAGGTGGCCTATGTTAAATGTGATTTTTTTTTCTTGGTTTTTCATCTCCATTGAAATTTCCTCCTACTTAAGTCCTTCTTTATAAACATGTGACTTCTTCAGAAGCAAAAAGAAATGCTGCATTCTGTAACCCAGTGGTTCCTAATGGAGTGTGATTTTACACCCCCTCCCAGGGACATTGGCAATGTGTGAGACATTTTTGGTTGACACAACTGGGGGTTTGCTACTGGCATCTGGTGTGTAGAGGATAGGGATGCTGTTAAACATCCCATAATGCACAGCACAACCTCTACGCCAAAGAATTAACTTTCAAAATGTCAGTAGTGCCACTGTTGAGAATTCCTGCTCTAACCTCAAGTCTGGTGTTTCTCTCCCAGTGTGAAGTATGAATTATGGCTGTGTAACCTAAGGTTAGAATAATAGTTTGGCTTGTGAACCGGCCATTACATGTGCTATGCAAGGTTGAGGCTATTTATTTAATCTGATCTTCAATTTCATGCCAATTTAAAATCTTGGTGACATTAAGATATATTTAAATACTTTCAAACTTATAAACTTTGTTTATGTTTTTGTTATGGCTACACAGTCCTGTATTTTAAAACAACCTCATGTGTTATCAAAGGCGCATAATAGCCTAAAGTAATGTTGTAAACAAACGAACATTTGAACAGAAATACTAGTACTATACCTTAACTAGTGTTTGTTTACCTGGTTTGATTACATTAGTGTTTTGGCGGTGGGCCAAAACGTACCGTCTTCTGATAGTTCCGCAGTGGTATGTTAGGCTCTGTATATGATGAAATATCAAAAATAGACATCTTCTAGATCCCCTTTAAAAATAAAATAATTCTCCAAATTTCTCTAGGATTGGCTTGCTCTTTTCAAATGAAATTACAATTTTCTTACCTTTACTTAAAAATCTGTGCTGGGTAGTTTGCAAAAATCGGTAAATGTGAAATATGTTCAGAATTTTAAAGTTCTTTAATGCAAAGCTTCAGAACACTATTATATGATTGTCCTAATTTTAGTAGTTCCTTTTTCTCCCTCATCCCCTCCTTTGTTTTAAACAGGTGGAGACTCCTCAGATGATGTGTCTAATGGTGACTCTATAATAGACTGGCTTAACTCTGTCAGACAAACTGGAAATACAACAAGAAGTGGACAAAGAGGAAACCAATCTTGGAGAGCAGTGAGCCGGACTAATCCAAACAGTGGTGATTTCAGATTCAGTTTAGAGATAAATGTTAACCGTAATAATGGGAGCCAAAACCCAGAGAATGAAAATGAGCCATCTGCAAGACGTTCTAGTGGAGAAAATGTAGAAAACAATAGCCAAAGGCAAGTGGAAAATCCACGATCTGAATCTACATCTACAAGGCCATCTAGATTGGAACGAAGTTCAACTGAAGCATTAACCGGAGAAGTCCCACCTACCAGAGGTCAGAGGAGGGCAAGAAGCAGGAGTCCGGACTATCGGAGAACCAGAGCGAGAGCTGAAAGAAGTAGGTCGCCTCTGCATCCAGCAACGAGTGAAGTTCCACGAAGATCTCATCAGAGTACCTCATCTCAGACTATTGAGCATTCTTTGTTAAATGAGACTGAGGGAAGTTCTAGAACCCGGCACCACGTGACATTGAGACAGCAAATATCTGGGCCTGAGTTGCTAAGCAGAGGTCTTTTTGCAGCTTCTGGAACAAGAAATGCCTCTCCAGGAGCAGGTTCTTCAGACACAGCTGGGAATGGTGAATCCACAGGATCAGGCCAGAGACCTCCAACCATAGTCCTTGATCTTCAAGTAAGAAGAGTTCGTCCTGGAGAATATCGGCAGAGAGATAGCATAGCTAGCAGAACTCGGTCTAGGTCTCAGACACCAAACAACACTGTCACTTACGAAAGTGAACGAGGAGGTTTTAGACGTACGTTTTCACGTTCTGAACGGGCAGGTGTGAGAACCTATGTCAGTACCATCAGAATTCCCATTCGTAGAATCTTAAATACTGGTTTAAGTGAGACCACATCTGTTGCAATTCAGACCATGTTAAGGCAGATAATGACAGGTTTTGGTGAGTTAAGCTACTTTATGTATAGTGATAGCGACTCGGAGCCTAGCGGCTCGGTCCCGAGTCGAAATACAGAAAGGGCAGAATCACGGAATGGAAGAGGAGGTACTGGTGGTGGTAGTAGCTCTAGTTCAAGTTCGAGTTCCAGTTCCAGTTCCAGTTCCAGTCCTAGTTCCAGTTCCAGTGGTGAAAGTTCAGAATCTGGCTCAGAGGTGTTTGAAGGTAGTAATGAAGGAAGTTCATCAGCGGGCTCACCAGGTGCCAGGCGAGAGGGTCGACATAGGGCTCCGGTCACGTTTGATGAAAGTGGTTCTTTGCCCTTCCTTAGTCTGGCTCAGTTTTTCCTCTTAAATGAGGATGATGATGACCAACCTAGAGGACTCACCAAAGAACAGATTGACAACTTGGCAATGAGAAGTTTTGGTGAAAACGATGCATTAAAAACCTGTAGTGTTTGCATTACAGAATATACAGAAGGCAACAAACTTCGTAAACTACCTTGTTCCCATGAGTACCATGTTCATTGCATCGATCGCTGGTTATCTGAGAATTCTACCTGTCCTATTTGTCGCAGAGCAGTCTTAGCTTCTGGTAACAGAGAAAGTGTTGTGTAATTAAGATCTGAACTCTCAGCTATGTAGCTGGTATAGTGATGGGCAAACAGGAATCACTTGCTTTTATGTCCGCTTTTTGAGTGGTGCCTAAATGTAAAGTAACAACCTGAATTGAGTCATTGCTTTCTGAAAGAATCATTATCCTTTCTCCAGTTTCTGTTCCAGAATAAAAGGAAATATTCAAAAAGCAACATTTTAGGATCTAAAACTCTGATGTCAGTACCAGGTGAATTGGTAGCAGCTCTGTTACTGATAATTTATCATATACCTTGTCAGTTTCTCCTTTGTTATCTTAAAAGATCTGCCTTAGCAATGGCTCCTGTCTGTTTCATGTTGATCTTTAAAGTTTCCCACGCCATAGGAGAGAGGGGCGGAGGAAATTCCCAGTTTAGACTAAGTTACAGTCTGTGTTTCTTAAGTGATTACTTAAAGCTGTATCATTCCCAGTTATTAGTTGACACAAATTCAGCCACATTCTGAATATTGTTTGTTCACCTTTCAGACTAGGTGATACTGGACATGTCAGTGTAAATAACACTAAGGTTAGGATCTTCTAAGTGTATAATTGTCTCCTAAGCCCATCACTGTGGCACACTGTAGAGTGAGCTTATAGTTTAATTGAGATATTTATCTTGTGGAAATATTAAAAAAGCCTATGCTTGTGTAAGTGAAAAAAAATCACATTCATTTGTTTAAAAATGTAAAGCTATTTTGTAGAGGCTCAGTACTTTTCCAATGCACTGTTGTATTAATGCATTAAAAACTGTAAAGTACCATGCTTAGAAATGAGAAAACTGCTTTTTGTGAGCCAACATAGTAAAAAAACACACCAAACAAAGTACAAAGCTGCTTTTGTAAGTGTGTAGATGTCAAGAGCAGAACATATCTATAATATTTAATGTATGTGAACAGCTACTGTGACATGCAAAAGAAAGGACAGTGCAGAATCAAACTGCATTAAAAAAAACCAATGAAAATTGTGTATTGTAACTTGGATTTAGGCAGGAAGTGAAAGATAGGATGTAAAGAAAACTGCTCTGAAGAATTTAAAGTTTTCATGAAGATAGTGATAATGCAGACATGAACTGGTTTCATATGGTGAGAGCAGCAGCAGCAGCTTGAACTGCTATTCTACCTGAGTAGATGAAGCAGATTGGCAAATTTGGCAGAGCTTTGGTTTAAGAAAAACAAACCACTACCACCTGGCACAAGTTAAATTGATGTTTTTATAAGTCTGCTCCTCAAAAAAAACAAAAAGGTGGAGGAAAGAGACTATAAACCACTTTTAGCATACGAATTGCAGTTGGTACAGATGTGTGTGCTAATAGGAAAGTCTCGAATTTGTATTGTTTTCGAGATTTATCATTTAAGGTACCAGTGCACACTTGTTAATATTTCATTACTATCTAACACCCAACATCTCACGTTTAAAGATCAGTGGAAGATTAAGGCATTTTTATCCTTTGTTTAAAATGAATCATGTTGGGTTATTGGAAATTCAAATTTTAATTGTGCTGCCCATATTTGAAGATGAGACTGCTGACTCACTATGGACATGCACTTTATGTTGTTTTCTTAGTAGTAAGAATAGCTTCGTGATAACTCTAGTACTCTTGCCTAATTTCTCTTTTGAGGCTGGTTGGGGTTAGGATTAGTCTGATTGTGGAGCAGATATTTGTTTTTCTGGGAAAAGCTAACAGGCCAGAAGAGGGATTGAACACGTCCTTGGCCTTTAACAAAGCAAGCTAACTACCCAGACGTGGTGGTCAGATACTCTACAAAAGAAACAAGTCTGCTTTAGGAATTACCTGGCTACCTTCACTGTTACCAACTTAGCTGTAAAGATTATTTCAAAGCTCGTTCTATCATGTTTTCTTCTGGCTTTCGAATCCTACCTAAGTATCAAGGAAATTGTAAATATGGTAGTTGTTTACTAAGGATATGTACTGCTCTTGCGAGGAAATAATGTCCAAACAAAGCTTCACTTATTTTTTTTAATATAAGCAGATTTCACTGTTTATGGCGCTTATGTAATACATTTTATCTTTTTAAAAAATTGTCCATGTAAAAGTCAGGATTCCTTTATATTTGTGAGCCTCCTTGTCTCCTTTCCTAAGGGTGTAATCTATGTTTTTCAGATCTGCAAGGTAGTCCTGATTGGCTAGAAACAAATCCATTTTCTTGACATAAAATGTTCTATTATTATAGGGTGTTCATTTTAAATAGTTTAAAAACTGCAGCACATTCTAAGCATAAAAGTTATTGACAACAGGTACCTCCCTAACCTCCCAAAATGTATTACTCATTTGTGAAGTATTAAAGTTAAGAGGTAACTCAAGCAGAATGCTGGTTATGAATGTAGATACTAAAGCTGTTCATAAACACTGGAAGTAGAATTTTAAGCTTTTAGCCTTCAGTAGAATGCACATATTGGACATGTGCATGTGGACACCTTTTTCAATAGCACTCGTTAATTTCCATTGGATGGTGTAAAATGAATACAAGTATTTCAGTGGAATTTGCTACTTAATTTTTTATTTTGTGAGGTCCATGACTGATATATACTTACTATTGTTGTGGACATTGAAGACAAGGTCATTTATAGGTGTCAGATGTACAATGGAGAACAAAAATCTTTTTTCCTCACCAGCATCCAAACACCTATTCTTGAGGGAGCATTTTCTTGCAAAAGACTTTACATTTCATTTTGTATCTTTGCACTTTTTCTTTATTACAGAAAGGTTCTGTCCTTAAGACCTAGTTTGAACTTCATGCAGTAATAGGAACAACAAAAAACAATGTTGGGAGTTTACATTATTCAAAGCATAGGGAAAAGTACTAAAACCTGAATTTTCTTGACTATTTCAGATGTTACTAGTCTTAAAATGTTTGAAGTGATTTGCTGTTTAACTCCAAGCAGCTGCAGACAAGATTGAGATTTGTTAGTACCACTGGAAACAAAATTGAACAAGTTAGGTTAAAAGTTTGCAGACTTTATCTGTGGCAGCACTAGAAGATGAGCCGTGTTGTTAATTTGGAATATTTGCTCTAAAAAGAACACATTAGTTATACCTCAGTGGTAGTGGAGGTGGGGATCGAGAAGAGTGTCCACATTAGTGTTGGAATGTAGGTAATAATTGTACAGATCATAGGAAAACCTTTAGCACCAGGAGATATATGTGTGTGTGTGTATGTATATATACATACACACACACACACACACACACACACACACACACACGGTCTTTAAGAACATGGTTATTGAAGTTCATGCAGACTTTAAGATTAGGAAACTGGTTAGCTGTGTTACCTCAAGTAATGTTCCACTCCGGCCCCCACCCCTGGGAAAACATTGCTTCCGTGCCAAGTATTCTCTCCTATTGTCAGTGTCTCAGATTATATTTATGAGGGGTTATCACTTAATATGCTTTGTATTTAACCACCTACTTCCCAAGTGTCCACCACATGAAACGGGCCAAGCATCAGCCATGACTTTGAGTTAATTCCCAAAATACCCTTGTGACAGGGAGATAAATGTTGCAACATGCCTCTTAAAAGGCCATTTTTACAGCTTGCTAGGATACAGTGGCACCTTGTGGTTGTTAATATTTTTCTTTTAAAGATGGAGGGTATTTTTATTCTCCCTTTTCTCCTTTGTTCTTTTGTGAACGAAAAGAATTCGTAATCTGCCTTATATTTGATTTTTTAAAGTTGTAACTTACTGGCTTCCCTGTGAAATGTTTTACCAATATTAAGTACATAGAAGCCATGTTTGCAGGGCACTTTTGTTTTTTCCTAGTCTTATAAGACTATGCTAATTGCTACTTTCTGAAGTATTCTGTACCTTAGTAATGTAAGAGATTGATAAGGCACATGTTAAAGTGTCAGGTGTGTTTTTTTTTCCCTTAAGTATATAATTCTTCAGTATGTTTAATATTCAATAACAGTGTTGTAATTCATTGAGTTAACTGGTAAATTGTGTGCTTTTGAAAAATTTGAAAATGGAAATGAACATAAATGCTTCATTTGGAAAGTTAAAAGTGCAAGGTCCAAGGAACTAGTATTTCACTTATTTTTAAATCAGATTTTTAATAAGCAACTAAAAACAGCTGTGAGTTCAGTACCTGCCCTTTAAAATTTTAACTTTCTGAAATTAAGGATTTTTCTTAACTGAAACAGTTCTAAAATATTATCTAGTATCCCACCAAGTGAGTGATCTCATTTAAGTCACCCTTACAGCATCCAGTAGAGCTGTTATTGGGGTGTTAAAATTCTCAAGTGATAATTACAGAAACAATTTGTATCAGTTTTATGATTCTTTTCATGTCTTGGTTTAGATCTGAAGGAAATAGGCACACCCTCCACTCTAAAAATTACAGTGAGATAATTGTTTTTGATTAAGATTTGTTTACTAAAGTTCCACAAGCTGCTTTATAGTGGATTAGCAGTTATCTTAAAGACATGCAGTGCAAGTGAACCCTATCCTACCACCGTGCCTCTTTTTTTCAAGGCTTCCATCAGTCCCTCATCTTGCAGATTTATTCCAATACCAAGGTATGGTTGAACCAGCTGCCCAGCCTTAACTCTATTTAGTGCCCCATTACTAACATTCTTTTAACTGATTTGTATGTGTTTTAACTGTCCAATGTTTGGATTTTACCTCTTGATAGCTCCATTTGTCCCTGGTACGCAGTTGGCCTGGTTATGTATCTGTGCCTGTTTTATCTTCTCCCAGGAAGAGCTGCTTTGGTATAGATGTTTACTTGGATTCATACAAAGAACCAGGCAGCAATCTTGGAAAGCTTTCTGAAACCTATAAGAACTCGAAGGTTTGGAGGGGGAACGGTAACAAAGGCTGCCTTTATGTCTTTGAACACGAAGCACATAAATGTATGTTCTGTAAAGACTTAAGTGATTGTTATACCAGGGCTTCCTGACCTCCGGGAGAGACTCAAAAAGCAGAGAGGAGCACAAAGTGAAGTGAATTTGGTTGGCTTGCTTTATCTGGTTTCTCATTTTCTTTCAATTTAAACCTGAACATAACAACCTTCTCCAATATCTATCCAGCAGACTCCTGGTTGGGAAGCCCTGTATTAAACTTTGAGAATGTACCCAGTTTTCTTTTTTTTGTACAGTGCTTAAACTTGCTGAAAATAACTTGTTTAATGCAAAACAAGACCTTGAGAGGTCAGTCATATTAAAGCTGGTTTGATTATTAATAGTTATCTTTTAGGAAGAAGCTTTTTCCCTATGTAAGATGTCATACTGCAGATTTAAAATATAGACTATCAATAAAATGCATGAAGTGATCATTTGTGCTTGATCATCTCTCCTTGGGTTTTTCTTTAAAAGGGGGAATCTTCTAAAGGTTCTGTTGCTTCAAACCAATGTCAATAGACTTGATTTTTAGAATCAAGCGGAATTACAGTGCAATCTTGATTTAGATTCCCCTCACTGCTGAGTGAGTGTGGGCAGGTACTGGTTTATGTGATATAACTTCGGTTTTATCTGTGTTCTGTAGTTAAATGGCTTAATCTTTGGTAAAATAAAAGATTAAAGTATATTCCGATACAAGAATCCTGGAAAGATTTATGTAAGTGACATTTTAAGTAGGTGCATCTTTGCTATTCTCACCATTGCCCTGCCACCCCCTTGCCTGACCTCTATATATACACAAAACTTTTGTAGATGTACGTGCATGGGGCTCATGCAGCTCTGTCTTCCATCCCTACCTCCAACCTCGTTTTTAAACATGTTGTTTGAGCCATTAAGATATCCTTGTTTCAAGCAGATCATCACATTCTGCCACCTGGATGAGACTTCCCCTTGGTATTAATTCCACTGGTGGTGAATTTTATCATAACTTCATTTCCTCTGGCTAGCTCTCATTGGCATTGTAACTTAGTTCTTGAGGATAGTTTTGGTGTGGTCAGCTCTTCACCTCATGGTCTTCCCAGGGTTTTCATTTTAGTATCATTCATGATTCTGTTATTTGCAACTCAACACCACCACTGAAAAACTTTGTGCTCTAGAAAATAAATGGAAGCCAATATACCAGGACCCAGATACCTGGAACAAAGGATTTAGTAAATCTGGGTGGATTATAAACTGCACTCTTTTGGTTTTGTTTGCTTTTGTTTTGTTTTTAAAGACGGAATCATTCTGTCACCCGGGCTGGAGTACAGTGGCATCACCACACCTCGATGTACCCTCAAGCTCCTGGGCTCAAGCGATCCTCCTGCCACAGCCTCCTGAGTAGCTGGGACTACAGGTGCACGCCACCACGCCTGGCTACATAAACTGCATTCTTAATGGTCATTTTTAAAAATGTGAAAGCTAGAGTTCGGTTTCTTTGAGGTCTTTGAATTTAGACGATTTAAATTGAAGACCTTGCAAATGGATTATATTAATAATAGCTATATTCAAAATAGCTACACTTTCCTGGTTGCTGCCAGGCCTTGTATTAAGTATTCCATATAATTTCTTTAATCCTCACAGTGACTGTGAGATGCAAGTATTACCACCGGTTTTAAAGGTGATGCAGCTGAGATACAGACATTTGGTAATTTGCCCAGGGTCATAGTAAATTGTAGCATATCTCCACTCAGATCTTTAATTCCAGAGTTTATCTTCCCTGTGTTCCTAATCCTGCTGCTATATGACCTCTAATTTGTTTTTAAATATTTATCCCAAACCCTAAACTAGGTACTTATGAGGTATGATTTCTTAAACACTAGTTTTGGCTAGTTTGCCAAGAAAAAGAGCAAATCATTCCTTCTGAGGAAGATTAATGGTCATATATTGTAAATTCAGAAAATCACTTGGGCATTACCAAGTAACACCTGAGCACTATGAATAAGGCGAGCCTTCATTTTAGCAGGTTAAGTGTAATCGGCACTAGGTCAAAAGGTATCAAGATGTTTCATTTTCGAAAGTCTGCATGTAGACCGGAATAATAATAATTTGGGAAATCTTAGTGTTTAATAGTCATCTGGGCCCCTTATTACCAATAAGGTGCTCTTGGCCCCAATTATGACTTGATTTGAAATATGAAATGACTAGAAAGAATTGCAGCTGGCTTTTTAAAAAGTATTCCAGCCAACTTATTGGCACCCAAGTAAATACCTTTTAACGTTAGTTGCCTTGGGCAGCCATAGGCATTCTAAGAATGTTATCATTGCTCAGAAGATACCTGGAATTTGTTTAAATAGCTTTTAGAAACAACTTTATGAGCCACTGAGAGAAGCAGCCCTATTCTGTTTGTTCACTGTATTTGCCACCCTTGAAATGAATCTTTGCTGTTTCCAAGGATTATCTTTTTCGTGCTGGAGATTTGCCGCTCTTTAAGCAGGTTTAGGAATGCACTCGGAAGGCAATCACAAACAAGTCATTTTCAAATAATAGGTGCAGTAGTATTTAGAATAAGTAAATGGCTGCCGAGGCGAGTACTTCGAAAAGACTGCCACATTGTCAACATTTGGAGCACAGGGAGAAAGAGACAATCCCCACCCTTAAGGAGCCAGCATTTCCTTGAGAACATGTGTAAGCAGATAATAAAATACTACTGAAACCTTAAGAGATGTGCATACTATGATTATCCATCTCCATTCACATATGTCATAACTACCGTGTTTCCCCGAAAATAAGACAGGGTCTTAGATTTATTTTTCCTCAAGAAGACACCCTAGGGCTTATTTTCAGGGGATGTGTCATTTTTTTTTTTAATTGCGGTACAACAATCTACATTTATTCAAATACAGTTAAGTCGTCTTCTTCTGGAACATCATCATGACTCTCCAAACCCCAAATTCCATCCTGAATTTCTTGCGACTCTATTTCCTTTAGAACCATGGGCCCCGATCTCTCATGCCGAGCACTAGAGCTCTCCTGGGGCAGATGAGAAGGGCTGCTCGTCGTCTTTCCCACTCTGCGACAAAATGCACGGGCTGTGCAGATGCGCTGCGTAGCCTCGCCCGTCACTAGGGCTGATTTTCGGGGTGGGGCTTCTATTGCACAAATGCTTAGAAATCCTGCTAGGGCTGATTTTATGGGTAGGTCTTATTTTCGGGGAAACACGGTACTAGAGTTAGTATGACATTTGAAGGGAGCAGTAAGTGGTAGTGGGGGGAACAAGAAGGGCTCCTCGGAATTTCAAGTTTGTTTCCTCAATTAATAGGGGATAAATGTGTATTATGCTCCTACTATATATGTCCTAGGCATTGTGCTGGTCTGAGGTTTCTCTTCCCTTTGTTTTTGGTAGGATGGGGACTTTGAAGCCTCTGAAATATTGCTGAGTTTCTCAATGGCCAGTGTTGGTAACTGTGGTGTAGCTACTTTAAAAAAAATTCACAACTGGTCCTCTATATTCTTCAAAGGTTCTAAAATAGTGCTGTGCAGTAGAAATATAATGCAAGTCACCATATGTAATTGTAAGTTTTCCAGCAGCCACATTACAAAAAGTAACGTGTAAAATAAATTTTGGCTGCATGGGCCGGACGTGGTGGCTCACGCCTGTAATCCTAGCACTCTGGGAGGCCGAGGCAGGCGGATTGCTCGAGGTCAGGAGTTCGTAACCAGCCTGAGCAAGAGCGAGACCCCGTCTCTACTATAAACAAAGAAATTAATTGGCCAACTAATATATATAGAAAAAATTAGCCAGGCATGGTGGCGCATGCCTGTAGTCCCAGCTACTCAGGAGGCTGAGGAAGGAGGATGGCTTGAGCCCAGGAGTTTGAGGTTGCTGTGAGCTAGACTGACGCCATGGCACTCACTCTAGCCTGGGCAACAAAGTGAGACTCTGTCTCAAAAAAAAAAAAATTTTTTTTTGGCTGTGTGTGTTGTTTCACACCTGTTTTCCCAGAACTTTGGGAGGCTGAGGCAGGAGGATCGCTTGAGGCCAAGAGTTTGAGAACAGCTTGGGCAACATAGCCAGACCCTGTGTCAAAAAAGTTTTTTATTTTTATTTATTTATTTTTTTTTATTTTGGGCATATTATGGGGGTATAGATTTTAAGGTTTCAATAAATGCCCATTTCCCCCCCTCCCCCCAAAAGTCTGAGTCTCCATCATGACCATCCCCCAGATGGTGCGCATCTCACTCATTATGTATGTATATAACCGCCCCCCACCTGCCCCAATACCTATGTGTCCACTTAGGTGCTACTCAGTTAATACCAGTGTGCTGGAGAATATATCTGGTGCTTGTTTTTCCATTCTTGGGATACTTCACTTAAGTTTTTTATTTTTTGATGATTTTATTTAACCTAGTAAATATTTCAATATGTAGTCAATATAAAAACTATTACATATTTACTTTGTTTTTTTCATACTGAGTTTTCAAAATTGGTATTGTATACTTACAGTACATATCAATTTAGACAAGGCACATTCTAAACCAATAACCACAGGTGGCTAGCGGCTACCATATAGGACAGTGCAGCTCTAAAACAATACAGAGGGGGGATTAAAGGTGGCATAATGTAAATGGGAATGAGGTTTTTTTGTTTTGTTTTGTTTTGTTTGAGACAGAGTCTCACTTTGTTGCCCAGGCTAGAGTGAGTGCCATGGCGTCAGCCTAGCTCACAGCAACCTCAAACTCCTGGGCTCAAGCGATCCTCCTGCCTCAGCCTCCCGAGTAGCTGGGACTACAGGCATGCGCCACCATGCCCGGCTAATTTTGTATATATATGTATATTAGTTGGCCAATTAATTTCTGTCTATTTTTATAGTAGAGACGGGGCCTCGCTCAGGCTGGTTTTGAACTCCTGACCTTAAGCAATCCGCCCGCCTCAGCCTCCCAGAGTGCTAGGATTACAGGCGTGAGCCACCGCGCCCGGCCTGGTGATGAGTTTTAAAAGTTCATCTATGGATATAGTTAAGTACATCTTACCTCCAATACACCAGAGATAAATGAGCCTCATTTTTTAAAATTGTGCATCAAAGCTGTGGCTTAGAGCAGGGGTCGCCAACCTTTTTGGCACCAGGGACCGGTTTCATGGAAGACAGTTTTTGCACGGATGGGGGCAGTGTGTGTGTGTGGCCCAGGTGATATTTGAGTGATGGGGAGCAGCTGTAAATACAGATGAAGCTTCGAGCTCTCCTGCTGTCTTGCTGCTGTGCAATGCACAGCTAAGTTTCGTGGAAGACAATTATTCCATGGATGGTGGGAGTGGGGGTCGGGGGGTCGGGGGGTGGCAGAGCTCAGCCAGTGATGCGGGGCCAGGTTCCTAATAGTCCACTCTCTGCTACTGGACCACAGCCGGGGGGTTGGGGACCACAGGCTTAATGTGTCCAGGCTTACAAAACTACCATCTTTCTCTTCCCCTTCTTCTGAGGTTAAAAGAACATGCTCCCTACCAAAGCTTGAAATCTATTAAGAATTAACAAAAGACCTTAGCTGGCTGAGGATCCTGTGACCAAAAGCTTGGGACGCCCATCCCAACTGCAGTGTTGTGTAGCAGCCAATAAATAATGGTGGTTATTTTTATTTATTGCAGGAATGAACACCCAGATTTTACATGGAGCTTCTCTTAATTCAGGTTTCCACTTTGTAGTTAGATAGTAAGTGATAAT